ACTAGTATCCAGAGTTATTAAACACCTGTGCTCCCTCGTCCTTCCTTGCTTGAACCCTGCTTTCCAAACCGCCTTGGAACCCGGCTGGTCACCCAGAAGCGGCGAGGAGTTCTGTGAACATCCCTGGATGGCGTCAATGGAGCCTCTCACAGCTCTCTGGTGCCCTCTGGAGGCCTGCACGTGTGCCTACATTCAAGGGTGTGGGTGAGAGGAGGTTATGAACAGCCAGCCCTGCTCTGGTCTTCCAAACTCAAGCCTGTCGGGGGTTCCTTGATGGAGACCATCCCTCTCATGTTCCGTCTTCCTCTTTTCCTGCCCTCTTCCAGTTTTACCGGTATTATTTTTTTCTCCTCCAGCAAATCCTGTCTTTTTGTCATGTGGTCAGAGGACAATAGCATTTGCATTTCACTCCTCTCAGCCATAAATTTATGATTTAATTACATTTCAATACTACCCAATTCATGGGTCTATTTTAAGGAGAAAGGCTTGGTAGAAATATTTTAAATGCATAATAAAAAAAAAAACACCAGAATAAATGGTGCAAGAGTTTTCACTTCAGAACGTGACGTATCCTGGTAACTCTTGCAGGATTGCCTCCACGTGGCCAGACGTGGCCGTACTGAGAACTCCTCCAGGAAGAAAACGGTAGATCTTATCCTGTGAGGAAGCCGCCCGGGGCTGTTCAGGGAAGCTAAGGTATGGTCTATGTCATCCACAAGAATCTGCATCCCAGAATGCCACTTGACTGGACTTTAGGGTATCGATAACTTGAAGTGCAAGCATGAACACGATCGAAAGAATGATTTTACACTGCAGTTGCTCCAAGGCTCAGCCTCCCCAGAGGTCACAAAGGGACCCTCCTGCTCAGCAGGAAACCATTCCGGATCTCCCCCTTTCCCACCTGTTGCAGGTGTTCTCCTCTGCGAATGGATGGCCACCCCCACGGTCTCCGATTCGTCCGGCTCTCCAAGTCCCCTGGAAGTTCACAGCAGCCTCTCCATCTTTGCTTTCTCCACCTGGTCAAGGGCTGGAGACGTTGAGGCCCTGGGGTTTTCTGGCACTTGGGGTGCGTTGTTCTAAGATCGGGGTCGGTCCTCCGAAAGGAAGGCCACTCTCCTTAAACCCAATCCCAGACATACCTCCAGAAGTGCTTGGAAAAGTTACCTTTAGGGTAACGAGGACATTGAGAATTCCCAAAACAGTGCTACCTTCAGCTTGTCCCTCCTGGCAGACGATGCTGACTCGTAGGACCATTTCTAACCAGGAGAAGGAGGAAATAAAGACTTTGGGGGGGGGGGTTGCAGTTCTTGCCTCTGTCTTTCTCAGGAATCTCCAGAGCCTCAGAGTGGATGGCAGAGGCACCAAGGAAGCCCTTGGCCTGGACGCCAAGGGGCCGGGGAATGATCTGAGCCCAAATGACATAATCTAGAGACACACCGCTCCACCAGGGAGAAGCCGGGTGTGTGTGTGTGTCTCCCGAGAGGACGATTCGACAACTGAAGGCATGGGGGAGTCCAGACACGCCACCCAGAGAAGATGCCCACTGCAAACCTGTTCGAGTCCCTGCTCCGAATTGGCCGCCATCCCCAAACGGATTCAACACGGAGGGGGCATGTTCGTTATAAAAAGGTTACACTCCATTGCTAGTTCTAGTGAGAGCTGAGGGATGGATTTGTGTGTGTGTGTGGAAGTACAGGACTCCTTGCCACTCCGTAACGGAATCAGCCGGTCTGCTCTAACCGGGGCTGGGAAACCGAACGCGGGTCTGACGCTGCAATCCGGAGGAGAGGGTCACCCTTGGTCTCCGTCAGAGTCGCTGCTCAAGGCTCGCCTCCATTCAGTTCAGGACAGGATTCACAGAGCGCTCCTCCTGCACTAGGCCATTTTTTAAAAAAATGGGACTGCAGCCCATTAAAAAAACTGAGGGGATTAGTTGTCCCCCACTGGTGCCTCCTTGACAGGGGCTGGACTTGATGACCTCGAGGATCCCTCACAGCTCTGCAGTTTTAAAACTATTAAACCAACCGCCCAAATATAAAACGTTGGGTCTACCACACCCTACTTGTCTTAACTTACTTGTGCTCTGTTGTTTTAAATGTATGTTAGGGTTGGTTTTATTTACCATTTTTAATGTACGTATTTAATTATTTTGAAATATTCATATACAGTACTTACGATTCTTTGTTTGTTTGTTTATTAGATTTTTTTATCCCGCCCTTCTAGACTATGTCTACTCAGGGCGGCTCATCAAACATTGTAAAGTAAAACAGTTCAAAACAGTTTGAAACAATACTAAGTAGTGCTTAAGATGGGAAAACAGAAAATTATAATAAAAATAAAGTCAAGTATTGACAGGAGGGAAGGCCTGCCTAAAGAGACAAGTTTTGAATTGGCTCTGAAAAGCTCTTTGCTTTTCAATGTTGTCTTTTTAAGGATGTAAGCTGCCTTGGGTCCTTTTTAAAGAGAAAATCAGGATAAAAATATTTGAAATAAATACATAAATAAAAGGGGTACAAGATTCTTTGCTGTTTGAACCAATGCTTGGGCAGAAATGCCAAAAAGGGGAAGAGGGATGGAGGGAGAAGGATCTTCAATGAAGAATGGATCACCTCTTATTCAGATTCAAAAACATTAATTCTTCTTGACTGATTTGGGGGGGGGGGTCAAACATGAGGCCCAGACGTCCTGGTTTGCATGAATTCCTTTTATTTCCAAATAAACAATTCCAATAACAAAGTATGAAATCTTTTCCTCTTTTTTTTTCCTTTCGTTCCCCCCTTGAAATACGGAGGGATTTCTAGGGAAGCAAAGCCCCCACCCCTTAAAAAAGGAAACAGTCAACCCCCCCCCCCTCCCCCCTCCGCCCACCCCCTGCATTTGAGGCCAGCCAGACCTCGGTCCCAGGGACATTTTTCTCTGC